CATCTGGATAAATTTGAGCCTCGGCACCTAAAATGAAATAATAATTATTTTGATCCATTTGATTTTTATTAGGTTATAATCAATATGTGCTTTAATTAGTTAGGACCTACCTTGGGTCTTGTTCAGATGAAAGGTCATATATAAATGAAATGGATCCTCAAGAATGCTCTGAGTTTCTTAAGGCTGTGGGACCTATAAAGCTCTTCCAAGGAGGGAAGAGGACAACCAATGGCTCTGGGCAGTAGAGGAGCGCCATCCTATCTGCCACTGTGCTGTTACCAAACCACATGTAGACGCACCAGGTTAAGACACTCTATAGTACAGTGGTAGAAAGTTACTAGCAGTTTTCATTCAGTTGTTGGTTCTTTAGAAGTCTTAGGTAGTACAGTCTCTGGCAGCCTCTTAACCAACACTGCCATATTGGCGCCTCAGGTCAGATCCTCCTTAACAGTGACACCCAGGAACTTAAAACCAGCTACCTGTTCCACTTGGTCTCCCTTTATGACCAAGGATTGGATTTCTGGTCTGTTCTTTCTGTAGTCCACTATGAAGCCTTGGTCTTATTTGATGTTAAGAACCAGATTATTGTCCTTGAACCATGAGAGCAGCCGATCCACCTCATCTCAATAGGCAAACTCATCCCTTTCAGAGAAAAGCCCCACTACAGTTGCATCATCTGCAACTTTGGTAATGATATTGCTCCAATAGATGGGGGTGCAGTCACATGGGTACAAAGTGTAAAGCAGAGGACTCAGCACACAGTCCTGTGGCATCCCAGTATTAAGAGTGAGAGCTGACAAAGTATGATTACCTACTCTAACCCTCTGGAAATGCCTAGACAAGAAATCCATAATCCAAGAATGGAGTGAATATGACAATCCATGATCCATAAGTTTAGACACCAGTCTATGTGGGAGGATTGTGTTAAATGCAGAACTAATGTCTGTAAAAAACATCCTCACTTAGTTCCCCTATTGTTCCAAGTGGGTCAGAACAGTGGATCACGATGACTATGGCGTCCTCTGTTGATCTGTTGGTTCTATATGCAAACTGATGTTTGTCCAATGTATGTGGAAGGCAAGAAATGTTGTGCCTACAGACCAGTTTTGCACCCTCTCAGGCTTAGTAGACAATCTAATAATCCTACTAGTAAAATTTGCACTTTGCCACTCAAGATCAGTCTTAAGATGTAATTGAAATGGAAACAGATCACACCAAGTATCATGCCTGATGAGTGATATATTCTGTTGTTATCACCTCCATACAAACAGCAACCCACACGCCCCTACAAATTGTTGCAATGGATTTTGTCATCACTACACAATCAAAAAGTCTGCTTTGTAAACTCATGTGGACCTTCAGAAATCAATGCATACGATATACACCTTTTCCTGAAGTGTGTTATGTGCCTTCAAGTTGACTGTCGAATTAAGGCAATCTCATGACTTTCTAAGCCAAAGATTTCCTCAGATGTGGTCTTGCCAGTTCCTTCCTCTGAAATATAGCCTGCAACACTTAAAAGTTGTTGGCAATCTCCCATACAAATATTAAACATTTTAAAAATCATGGACTTTATTTCATAACCAGGCTCATCTTGATCATGTGACTTCAGAGGTTGGCTAATGACAAGTGTACATATGCATTTTTCATGAGATGTAGGAAGAAAACCAGATACATCATCCTGCTTTCAATGGGCTACTCTAATGGGGAAGATGCTTCAGATCCACACTCTTGAAAAACAAAAATACATAGTGGTTATGAGGGGCACTTGTAACTTGTGTGTAGGCTTGTGTCCCTAAAATTCCACTCAAGTCCAAAGAAAATCTTCTTTCCTTTAGACAGTAACCGAAATTTAACGAAGGGCAATAAATTGCAAGCACTTAAGATTATAAGACCCTGTGGAATATTGAGGAAGTCCTATAGATAATTGTATTTCTACTGTTTCACCATGTTGTAATCTGTAAGTGTGTGTTGAACGCTTTTCCTCTCTCTCTCTCTCTCTCACCCTCCCCTTACACTCTCCCCCGCCCTCACTGCCCAGTCTGCTTCATTTATAAGACTCGCAATGTCTATTTGTCAGAAATGTAAAGTGTATGTCTCAAAAATTTTTTAATAAAGATTACTCAAAAAAAAACAAAACACTTATTCCTTCCTTTGTTATATCCCCCCACCCCCATAACACAGAACAGACATAGAATAAAAACATTTAGCACATACCTGTAACCTCCCTAAATGTGCACAATGCAACAAAAGTGGAAAAACACAAATTTAAATAAAAATTGCAAAGCAATTTCAGAGAGAATACTTTAGGCCTTTCTAGGTCAACGTCAGGCAATACATTTTTGTTGGCTTATAGGGCAACAGCTGTAGCCTGCAAATAATCAAATACATAAATGTTTAACCTGCAAATTTGGAGGGATGATAGGAGATACCTTGATGATCAATATTTTTTTGCTGCCAATAATGCAACAGGCTTGAAGGATTCTTGCAGTGTAACTTGACAGTCATCTCTTCCACTCGCTCCTACATCCCCTCCAAAGACTATTCTGTGTATTTGTAGTTCCCCCTTTTGTTTACCAAATCAGTCAAATCTCCCATCTACTGTAATGCAGGTCAACTTTCACTTATCCCCTTGGGGAGATGGGTCGGGGTACACATAAATAATAATAATAATAATAATAATAATAATAATAATAATAATTATTATTATTATTATTACGTATTATTATCCAGAATTCTAGAATGCTCCAAAATCCTAAACTTTTGGAGCTACAGCATGCACTTGTGAGGTTATAGACAGATACAGGATCTGTGAAATGATGGGAATTATACTTGCCATAATCTCAGATCCTTGCATCTCTCGCCAGCCAAATGAACAAAAACAGCAACACAGCTATCAGAACTGGGCTGCAAGTACTGAGTTTACAGTCAAAAAGTTCTTGTGTAAGAAAGACCCTGACTGGTAACTGGTGATGGAAGCAGAAGAGAAAGGAGAAGGGTTGGCTTTTGTTTGGTGCAAGGTTTTACTTTAGGCAAGATGAATTTGGCCACGCCTTCTTCTTCCCTCTCGCTTCTATTCTCTACCAAGAAATGGGAGAGGGAGCCCAAAGAATGCATATTTGACAACCAGGGTTTACTACCATCTCTGCTGCTGCCCTATGCCCTTTTATATTTCAAAATCTTTTTAAAAACCCTTAACAACCCATAATACAGCTTACTTCTGGTCTCAAGCATTATGGATAAGGGATATTAAACCTGAATTTTATGGGGTCACCATAAGTTGATAGGCAGCTTTGCATTAAGGGATGTAGGGTGAAGGACATTGATTCAAAACTGAAGAGAGTAAAAATAGCTCTTCCAGTTTGTTTATTATTTATGTCATTTTCATGCCCCCTTTCTCACCAGAGCAGACCCTAAAGTGTCTTATACAGAAAATAACAATCTTAATAATAAACACTTTAAAAATATCGCATTAAACAGTATAAAATCATTTGAAATATACGTGGAAGTTTTCTTTTATTTCAAGCCAATAAAAATCTTTCCTGCTTGTGCATTAAAACTAGCTTAAACAAAAAGGTCATTGCCTGAAGACACAAGGAAAGCAGGGAGGAGGCTGGCCTCCTGTATGGCACGCCAAAGAGTGAAAAGCATCACTGAAAAGCCTCTCTCTGTGTGTCCTCACCAAGGGAACCTGAGAGAAAGCTTCCTCCTGTATATTTTAAAGCCCTGGCAGGTTCTATTGGGGAGATATAGTCTTCCAGACACCCAGGAATAATGTAAAAGGTTTAGGAATGATGAGGAACCAATTCAAATCAGACACTGAATTTTAAATTTCAGAAGTTTATTTAAATGACACGTACAGCTTTGTAGTTATTGGAAATAAGGAAAGGCATTCATTTCACTTTAAAACATTATGCTACGTGTAATCACACAGTCATAACACTAACATACTTCCTCATGTTCAGGGCCCTGTTCATCTACTTTGTACATTATATTCTGACTTTGATTTCAGTGTTGGCATAACGTTTCAATTTTTTGCCGTGCTTCTATAGCAGCATAAGTTGTACAAACTGCAGATGGCTTCACAGAATATTGAAATAGTGCTGTGATGCACAAGCGCCTTGGTGTTTCAAATTATATAGTTACGATTGCTATTTTTCATGCCGTACTTGAAACTGGATAAGTGAAAATTAACAGTCCCCATGGCAGAAAACCTGTTCACTAGGAATTTAGTTGAGCAAACATTTTCACAGAAAAGAATAAAAACATTCAACTAGTCTTTCATATTAATAAGAGGGTCAATATAGCTTTCAAATGAATCTGTATCAGTATCAAAAATCAAAGAGCTATCAGAAGCATAATGATTAATACCTGCTTTTCAAATAATGCTGCTCGTTCCAAAAACAAGGTATCAATTTATACTTTTATAACTGAATAGACTGGTTAATTTTACTTTTCTACAAAACACTTAAGAACAAGACTGCTTCCACAAAAAAGGGTTGGATGTCTTCCCTAAAAAAGGGAAAAATGGACACCACTCTGGCAATGTACACACACAAATGCACTCGACTGACATAAGACTGGGTGCAGGTGGGGTAGGGAGATAATACAGGTAGGTTTGCCTTCACAAAAGCACTCCTATGCCATCATTCCTGTTGCAGATCTGTACTTAATATTACAACTGGCTTCTCCTTAATACCTTTGCTTTCAGTGGTTCTCATTTCAGAGAAATTCTCCTCTGCTGGCTCTACATGCTGTTGTCGCTCCCCTTGGACTTCGGCTGTTCTTTCTTCAGAACTTCCTTGGGATGAGGATAGCAGCTCTTCCACTGTTCCTACAGCTTCCGTTCTCTCTTCTGCCTGCTGTTGGTTCTCTGCAGGTTCACCTTTAGAAAAATCTGCAGGAGGGAAGGCTGTCTCATTCCCTTCCGGTCTGGCAGTTTCACCATCCTCACTGGGTTTGACCTTGTCACCAGCATTCTGTTTTTCCTCCATAGCTGTATTTTCTGGAGCCCTTTCACTGTCTGCCCTCTCTACAGCTTCAGATTCATCAACATCTTGGTCAATGTTCTCATCTGTAAATGGATCATCGCCCTGACAAAGGGAGGAAGCCCGTTATCAAAATTGCAGAGTCATCTAAAGTTCTCTTAGAGAACATCAAGCCTAAAATGCAGAAATTTGCAAATGAGTGATTGAAAACTAAACATCTTTATTTGAAAGCTGACTAGCACAAACCACTGCTCTGTCTATCAAGGTAATGGACTACATTTTTGCTGATATTCTTTACTTAAGGCTACCACTATCTTCTCTCTATGAATGTGGCATTATCTGAAATCTGGTAAAGCCTCAGCCTCAAAAGAATAAGAACAGGTTATAATTTGCTTAACTAGATCTATTGTAGTAAATGAAGTGAATGCAAATGCAGTCCCTGTGGCCTTGGAAATCTGTTCATTTCTCAATATAAGTTTTGGGCACCTAGCACAAAACACCAGGTCTAGTAAATGCCAGGAAATTTCAGAAACCCTCTCAATTATTATATTTTAGTCCATGTCTAGTCATATGGCTATAAACCAATGATGGCTACTCACACATTTCAGTGATCTTGTTAGGCAAAACACTTTCCATGTCTGATCAAAGCACATGAGGAAATTCTCCTGGAAATTCCTCTTAAAGAAGTCATACTCATCTTCCTTAGACTGAAATTAGAGATTTCAGTTGCCCAACATGGAGGGCAGTGCTCTACTCTAACTTGGCTCAACATTCTCTTATTTACTAAAGAAAACATTGTATGGAAACAGTAGATATATACTAGTGTTGTTCTACTGGATGTCAAAATCACTACGTAGCATCACAACAGACTTAAAAACATTTCCTCCCTTCTTGCAAATCACTCATATGTGACTGACCTGAAGCAGGTATATAGAAGGGAAGAAGACAGCAGGGTAGAAATCTAGTCCATAATCTGATCAAATTAAAATTACACTTTCTACGCTCATATACATATCAGGTACAGAAGATCAAATGTCCTGCTTTTTCTGCTATATCTATGGAGCCCCACTCATGTAAACTGGGTTTAGCAACTCAGCTAGGGATTTCCACACCCAAGAACTGAGTACTTCTGTTTTACGACCCAGGTGGATCAAATTCAAACCAGACTGTCTCCATAAAAGAAGAACCATGCAGGTGAGAGACAAGTAGTGTCATCTTCTCTGGCTGAAATCAACCAATCAGCCTGATTTACTGATGTATTGGGGTTCACAGAGCTCTAGGCTCTACCTTGCAATTTGGAAATATCCGTCAATCGCTAGATAAAAATGTTGGAGGGGGGATTCAGAATCCCAACTGGTAGAGACTGTCACAGGCTTCCCCAGGAAGGGCCAAAAGCCAGCATTCTTTAAGGAAGGGAGCATTAGCTCAGTGTTCAAGAATCATCTCTTGATTTGAACAGTCTCGCCCCCTGCCTTCAACCTTCCTTTCATGGGGAAGGTGATGAGAAGAATTTTGTTGGGGCACCTCTGGCATTACCTGGAATCCTCAGATTTCCTTCACCCCTTTCAGCTTGGTTTTGCACCTGGGTATGGTACGGAGACTGTGCTGGGTGGGTCGAAGATCTCCTCCTGCTGATTGACAAAGGTCAGGTGTCCATGTGGATTCTGTTAGACCTGTCGGCAGCCTTTGATACTGTTGATCATGAGGTGTTGCGGAGGCACCTGCGGACCCTAGCAGGGGTAGATGGAGTTGCGCTTGAGTGGTTCCGTTTTGTCCTCGGAGGGGTCCCAGAGGATGGCATTGGGCAACTGCTCATCTGCCCCAAGGGCTCTCTCATGTGAGCAACCGCAGGGTTTATTCTGTCACCCCTCCTGTTCAACGTGTATGAGAGGCCGCTAAGGGATGGCAGCCTCATCCTACAGGCCATCAGTGACAACAACAGGGTGATGTTTTCAGCTCAGTCTCTTTTATTGGGCCCAGAGAGCATAGTCTCACTTTTTACTGGCGTCGACCTGCCAGAATTATAAGTTGCTTACCTGTAACTGTAGTTTCCTGAGTAGTATCCTGTGAATACGCACATATGGTAACCCTGCGCCTGCGCAGTCCAGCGATCGGAACCTTCTAGAGATAAAAAATGACAGTTAGGACTCCCTCAGGCCACGCGGCCTCCACCCCCCCTGTATATATAGCCCGCGGTCGTGGCCGTCCCTCAGTTCTCTTCCGCTGCGAAGCCTCTGGAGACGGCATGACCCAAGAGGGGAGGAGGGTGGGTGATGTGCGTATTCACAGGATACTACTCATGAAACTACAGTTACAGGTAAGCAACTAATAATTTCCTGTCATAGTTCCTGTGAATCGCACATATGGTAGATTAGCGAGCTACTGACCGTGGACGGTGGGAGTCATGCCACAGCCGAAAACAGAACAGCTCTGCCGAACTCCGTCTCCCTCCTGGATACGATGTCCAGTTTGTAGTGGATCACAAACGTCAACGGAGACGACCAGATAGCAGCTCGGCAAATGGTATCCAGTGGAACGCCTCTCAGGAATGCAGCAGATGTGGACACCGACCTCGTGGAATGGCCCTTGACCTATTGAGGCAATTCTTTCCCGGCCAGGCGGTAACACAATCGGATCAGAGACACAACCCACCCAGATAACCTCTGGGAGGACAGCGGCATACCCTGTGCATCTCTACGGTACTTAACAAAGAGTCTAGATGTATGGCGTATTGACGCTGTTCTATCTACATAGAACGCCAAAGCTCTTCTGACATCCAATAAATGTAGACTCCTTTCAATAGGAGTTGTAGGATTCTGAAAAAATGCGTGTATGATATCCTGGGACAAATGAAAACGAGTAGATACCTTAGGCAAAAAGGCAATGTCTGTGCGAAGTACAGCTTTGTCCTTATGGAACTTTAAGTAAGGTGGATCTACCCTTAAAGCAACCAATTCACTTGCTCTACGTGCAGACATTACTGCAACTAAAAATGCTGTTTTCCATGACAGGTAAGACAGATCTACAGTTGCCAGCGGCTCAAAGGGAGGTTTTACCAACTTAGACAAAATCAAATCCAAACTCCACCCCGGGGAAATAGGGGCAACTGGCGGTCTAACATTCGCAACACCCCTTAAAAATGACTTAACCAATGGATCAGAGAAGCAGGATGGAAATCCCTGTTTTCTTCTGTACCATGATATAGCGGCAAGGTAACACCTGAGAGAGGAGTATGATAATCCCGCATCTATCAAGGAAACTAAGAATTCTAAGATAACATTAATACCTGCCGTCACTGGATCTTGCTTCTTTTCACTACAAAACTTTGAATACCTTGACCATTTGTATACATAAGAGCGTTTTGTGGACCCTCTATGTACTGTCTCAATAAACCGCAAAACTGATTGGGGTAGCTCATGCAAACTGTCCACTATGCTGGCAGGACCCTCCATGCGGTTAGCTTTAACTTGTCCACCTCTGGGTGGAGCACCTGTCCCCCTTGTGAGGACAAAAGGTCCGTCCTGTTTGGAAGGCGGACAAATACTCCCCTGGCTAGTTGGTGGAGAAGAGAGAACCATGGCTGTCTCGGCCACCATGGTGTTATCACTATACATTTGGCATTGTCCTCCTGTATTTTTGCGACCACTCTCATTAGTAGAGGAATTGGTGGGAAGGCATAGAGGTCGGCCTGTTCACCTGACCAAAAAAGCATCTCCCATGCATCCACTCTCTAGGTGGGGACGCTGACGGGCACAAAACAGGGAGCATTTGGTGTTGTCCTTCGTTGCAAATAAATCTACTTCTGGGAATCCCCACGCTACGAATATCCTGTGAGCTTCTTGTGGATTGAGAGACCATTCGTGGTGCACTAGGGGGCTTCTGCTTAGCGCATCTGCTAACATATTTTGTTTTCCTGGAAGATGACTTGCAACTAAATGTACCCCTCTTTCTATGCACCAATCCCATATCCGTATTGTGAGGGTCAGTAACTCCTTCGAATGTGTGCCTCCCTGCTTGTTCAAATAAAACATTACTGTAGTATTGTCCGTAATAATTTGAACTATGTGACCTATTATTATCCTCTCGAATGAGAGAAGTGCCCTTTCCACTGCGAGAAGCTCTAACATGTTTATATGCATCTCGCTTTCCTGACTTGTCCAAACATCGTGTGCAACGAGACCCTGAGTGTGTGCTCCCCACCCCGTGAGAGAGGAGTCTGTGGTGATGACAACAGTAGGGTACAAATGGTGGAAATGGAATCCAGAACAGACCCATGATTGGTCCTCCCAACACCGGAGCGACTCTCGGATCATAGGTGGAAGGTAGAATTTCGTTCTGGGGTCGTCCGTCAGCGGGTCGAAAACTGTCAGGAACCAGGATTGGAGAACTCGCATTTTGAGTCTCGCATAATGATTGACAGATGTAGTGGACGCCATATGGCCTAACAGTGTTTGGATCTGCTTGGCTGAACTGCAGGGGGATGTTCTGGACTGTTTGACTAGATGCTGAAGGCTTGCAAACCTGTCCCCTGGAAGGAACGCTCTCTCGGCTACGGAGTCCAGAAGGGCACCGATGAACTGGATTTTGCGGGTGGGCGTTAGGGTCGACTTCTCCTGGTTGACTATGAGGCCCAACGACTGGAGAAGAGATAAAATGGTAGATATCTGATCCTGCAACTGTCCATACGATTTAGCTACTATCAACCAGTCATCAATATAAGGGTAGACTGTTATTCCCCTAGTCCGTAGGCAAGCCGCTACCACGGCCATACATTTAGTGAAAACTCGTGGTGCGGTCGAAAGTCCAAATGGAAGGACATTGAAGCAATAAGAATTTTGGCCTACCATAAATGACAGATATCTACGGTGATGGAGGGCTATTGAGATATGAAAGTATGCATCCCTTAAATCAATTGTCGCAAACCATGCCCCTTTTGGAATAAGGGGCAGAATCGAGGACAACGTGACCATTCGAAATTTCTTTGGGGTTATATGCATATTTAAGGCTCTAAGGTCAAGGATTGGTCTGAGTCCACCACCACGCTTTTTAATCAGGAAGTACTTTGAGAAAAAACAAAATTTAATATTTGTTGCGTTTACAGGAGAAATAGCTCCTTTCTGGAGTAACATGTTAACCTCTTGTAACAAGGGGGGGGAACTTGGGTTCTCTTAACATTGCCTACTCTGGGTAGGTCATCAAATTCAATGCAGTAGCCTTGTCTAACAATGGATCTAACCCATTTATCTGTAGTAATACTACACCAATTTACGTAAAATTTAGATAATCTGTCACCAAACATAGGAACTGAGGAATTCGTAGAAGAAACAAATGTCCCTGCAGACACATTAACATTTAACCCAACAATACTAAGCGGAGTAACTACCACTTCTCCCCTGCTATCTTGCACACCAGAACTGTCAAAGACGCTTCTTTTGATTAAATTGACCCTTTGGTTTATTAGGATATGGTTGTGACCTATTCCTCGGGAAGTAGGAGTTTCTTCTACCACCCTGGAATCTTGGGGAGCCGTTACCCCTATTTCTAAATGGACCTGTGTAGTAGTTCCCAAACGATCTACGGTAGTTCGTAGATGGTTGTTGCCACCTCTGTCGTTGCTGTTGAAAGGGTTGTCACGTATAGCCGAACTTATTGGCGGCTTGACGGACATCTTGTTTTTGCTTTATATTGTCATCCGTTTCTGGGTTAAAAAGCCCAGCTTCATGAAACGGAAGGTCTTCCGCTAGTGCTTTCCCTTCATCTGATAGATTTGATGCACGTAACCATGCGTGCCTTCTAATTGCCGTGGCTGTAGCAAAGAGACTTCCAGCTGCCTCTGCTAAATGTTTAGCAAAGTCTTTCTGTAGTCTTGAAAGAACAATTGCCTCCGCTTGGAGGGCTCTAGGTAAGTGCTGCTCTTCTCTAGGTAGGGAATCTATGCAGGGCAGCATTTTTCCCCATAAGAAAGTTTGATACCCACTCATATATGTTGCAAAGTGGGCCATGCGGGTAAACCACCCCCCAGAGACATGTGCCTTTTTGCCTAAAGAATCGATCTTTTTACCCTCTCTATCTGGTGGTGTAGTTAGGGAGCCCTTAGGTCGTTTTGCTTTAGCCACCTCCGCTACCACAGTGTTTGGTTTTGGTGGGAGAGTGACCCATCTAAATGCTGATACATCAATCATATACATCGAATCTAACCTTCTAGGTAAGGCCGGAGCCAGAGAAGGAGACATGTCTACAATTTTTGCAAGTTTGAGTAAATATGGAAGAGCAGGTAAAGATAATGATGGAGTAGTATTTTGCTCTTCAGAGGGAAACATTGGATCATCGACATGTTCCGGTGGTTTTGGTGCTGGGATGCCTAAACCCTTTATCATTCTTTCCACCAAGGCATTAAACTTATTAAAATCAGTTAACTGATTAGATAAGTTATCCTCACCCCCCAAAGTTATATCAGGCGAATCAGATTCAGTCTCAACATCATTAATGTCATTATTGGCATCGTTGGGTGCCATCTGTACATGCAAGTGGTCTTGTTCTTGTAGATTGTCATCGTTTGTAGCATTAGATGGTGTTATAGCATTCAAATTGTTTGGTTGTGCATTTATAGAGTCCTCACTGAGCATATTCGTAGGATTCCTTTGGGAGTCACGAGCATTGTTTATTGTGTCACATGCTCTCATTTCAGGAATGTTGGTATTAGCTGGAGGTAAGTTGTTAGTTAGATTCTCTGTAGTAGTATTTGCTGTGGTTTGCACTGGAAAGGGTAGTCTCTGCATGGGTTGCTGCATAAACATGAGCTGTCCCGACGGCTCCATCTGCCAGAAACCCGGGATGGGTAATGATCCTGGCTCATATCTCCCCCATCTCGTCGAGGAACGTGGGCATCTGGAGCGTCTTCCTCTCCTTGATCGAGTAGAGGAGGAGGAGGATGAAGAGGAGGAGGAGGAGGACGAGGAGGAGGATCTGGAGCGGCGTCCCCTCCGTGAAGTTGATCGGTACCGCCTACGGCGGGATCGATTGCGGCGAGATGGGGACCGCGAGCGCCTCAGATGCCTGCTTGAGCGTCCATTGATGCGACCTGGCCAGGGGTGAGGAGAGGGTGCTGTTATGAATTGTCCTCTATTAAGTATCATGTTTCTCCCCTCCGCCTGCGTCGCTTCTCCATTGCTGGGGGAAACTCTCTCCCCTTGTTCCTCTTCGATGCCAGCCGGCATCGGCATCGGATGGGTGGGGATTTCAGTCCCGGAAATGGCAGGACCATTGTAAACGCCTTCAAAGGCGTGGCTTGTTGAAGGGAGGGCGGAGTTTGTTGCGGGATTGGAGTCTGCCTCGGGAGCGTAAGGGGCGACTGTGCAAATCTCCCCGCCTTCGTTCAAGGATAGCCGCGGCATCGGAGGAGTCGACCCCATAGCCGGTGTCACTCCGTTGGCTTGGGCCGCTTTGACAGAGGTATTTTCATTACTTTTACTGGCTCCTTCTGTAGTTTTTAAGGGGATTCATGGCGTCTTTGGAGTCTTGGCCGCCTGTATGGCCCTTAGAGACTTATCGGCGGGAACGCTCCCTTTCTTTGTCGGAGCTTTTTTCGTTGCCACGGCTTGGCGGCCATTTTGAGGGCCGTTATTTTTGATTTTTTTGGTCTTCTTCTTCCCTTCCAAAGGTAAGGGATTATGGTTTGCGGAGCTTTTCTACTCCTGGTTAGTTTGAGGCATGAGAGCTTTTTCATATAGCGTAGCTCTTAACCGAGCTAGCCTATTTTTCCTGGTTTGAGGAGTGAACGATGCGCATATATCACATGGCTGTATAAGGTGTCCTTCTCCTAGGCACTCGAGACACAATGTGTGACCGTCAGTGTCCGGGAGTATATTAGGGCAGTTTGCGCATTTTTTAAATGCCATGGTTGCCATTTTGTTGAAATAAAGTAATTTCCAACCGTTATGGATTGTCTCTTTTAGTTTTCGGCTGTATTTTAGTTCAAGATTACCGTTAACTGTTTCTTATAGAAGAGGAAGGTTCTCTCGCTGCTTGCTGAGCACGGAAAAAAAGAGAACCGAGGGACGGCCACGACCGCGGGCTATATATACGGGGGGGGGGGGGGGGCCGCGTGGCCTGAGGGAGTCCTAACTGTCATTTTTTATCTCTAGAAGGTTCCGATCGCTGGACTGCGCAGGCGCAGGGTTACCATATGTGCGATTCACAGGAACTACGACAGGAAAACTAGTTTATTGGCAGGCGGGCATTCTGGATAAAACCAAAGTATTGCCAAAAAATGGGGTAGGGGAACATGGCAGATGGAAGATCTACTCCCCTATGGCTAATGTTTGCTATAAGAAGGTTCTCTTAGTCTTGAGTTGCTCCCGGATTCCCAGGGAACAGTAGCAGGCATACTTATTTCTTTTCATCTTCACCTGGTCTGTTATTTTGCAATTCTACCTTTAAAAATGGAATTCACCCACAACCTCATATATTACATGAGCAAACCTTTGATGGTCACACAGAAGTGTCCACTTAACCTCAACTGCCAATTTAGGCTAGCAGGTTTATCACAACTGACTCTTTTAAAACTGCTATATTTCCAAGTCTTAGATGTGTAAAATGCTAGTTTAACCTACAGAGTCATACTTAAGTAAAGACCCCTTGTCATTTCATGCACTACTTCTGACAGCTGGTATCAGAACAACTGATGCCAACAGTATCCCAGAAATGATCTCTAGAGAAAACATAGAAACTAAAAAAAATCTTCTGACTTTGCAATGTTGCTTCCAGTTAGAATGTCTCACCTGCTAAAGAAATCAAAGCAGAATCTCCCTTTCCAGACAGCTAAAATGATAATGATAGGAGGTGGTGGAAAGTATATGTAAGGAGGCGGGAGGAGG